TATATATATATATATGTGTATATATATGTATAGTCCCGCCAGAGGCACTTTATTACACAATTTCTTTATTCATTTATTTACAGGACTACATTCGTTATATATATAACGTATATATATGTATGTAAATTGACAGACAGCTGAGGAATTATACATATAAATGTTTTATTTTTTTAACTGTTTCCTCACCCTCTGAACTGTTTTGACATAAACTTTAACCAACATTAAAACTCATTATCAGTTTGATGGCCAACTTTTAACATCCAATTGAAGGTGTGATTAGACATACAGGTTTTAAAAGAATTCAAGGGCTGCATATTGTATGTGCATTGATGTAAAACTATTGAAAAGAAAGTTTATTTCAACCACTTTTAATCTTTCATTCATCAAAAGGAATCACAATATAGATCAGAAACACAGAACATTCTATAGCTAATAAGATTATGTATGCTTACCTGAAGCAAGGACAGGTCTACCTCAGAGTTTAAAAAAAAATTAATCATGGTCTATTGGGATTCCAGTACATTGAAAGAAATATTTAACAGAATATGATAGGATTTGATTGATTGATTGATATTGATATCTTCATTTAGTAGAGCATTTGTTATTGCTATCCATTTATCAATTGATTGAATCTTGGTTTATGGCTTTTAACCACTTACAGTACATAAATTGGTTCTTTAGAGACAACCTCTCAATAAAATACTCAGCAAAATATATAACAAATATGAAATAAAGTAAACTAATTAATGTTTGATTTTGTAAAAAATAACTTTCTTTGATAATTGTTTACTTACATTTATATTTATATATTTAATATTTGAAATGAAAAGAAAAAATAAATAAATGTAACTATGTTAAACTAAAAACATTGTCTTTTACATTCTTTCACACATATTTATAAATGAACTTAATATATAGAATATATATTGTGTAAGTAATGTTTTTATGTATAGATTAGGAAAATATACATGTTAATATATTCATTGGTATACATTATTAAAAATAATGTGAACAGTACTAAACAACTTAAAAATAGTTTTTTTTTTAAATCTCAGATACATGCCTTTTTAAACTAGTAAAGTGCATTCGTTTTTTCAGGTGTGAAATTGAAATTTAATTTATTATCAATATGAGGCAATAAATAATAAAGACAACATATTTAGGAGGGCAGTACTGTACAATGCTATTGTTTCTGATGCATGCTTTTTGCAAAGAATTTGGTATTTGAAATGTTGAAATTGTTTTATTACTGACGACAGGATTGTTGTAGGTATTGCCATGAATATTTTAAGACGTATTGTTTGTTGTGTCGCTAAACCATCTGTCCTTATCCCATGATGCTTTGATCATGTGCACTAATATTGATCAAAAAGCAAACAGGAATTTGCAGAATGGTTATTGATTTTTCTTCAAATTGTTGATACTGTGTGTATTTGATACTGCATATTGATGATCATTGTTCAACTTTTGGTCCAATGATATTGCTTTAATTTTTGTGGTTGCTAGGCAATAGCTGTAACGTGACAATGCGTAGGTTTTAGATACCGTGGTGTCTTACAAAAACACTTGTTATTTGAACTTTTAAGTAAAGTATATTTGTATTTTACCTATAAAAAAAAGTACTTTCGATGAGATCTCTGATTCCAGTATATTGTTGAATATTAATTTTTAAGTACAGATTTTTTTTATTTATGTTATTATTATTGTTATTATTATTATTATTATTATAATTATTATTATTATTATTAATATTATTAATATTATTTATAAAAAAAAGTTTGTTTCATGCCTACATGGAAAAAAAAAAAACCCCTTGGTGTGAACTCTTTTTCATTGTATTAGAAGATTTTATTCTTACTATATTATTATTAAGTCATGATCCAGAAGCTTATACCTTGGTCATGATGATACAGTTCATGGAGTGGATTTGAATAACTTGGTGGTTAAGATGTTTGCCTTCCAATTCCAGGGTCGTGGGTTCAATGCCTGTCAGTTGCAGGACTTTTTCTCACGACCTAAACAACTTCACTCCCTAAACCTCATATTGAGATTTAGTTCGTGTAAAGCATCATGCGTATATGTTTGTATTGTGTGTCGTGGACTGTTTTATGTGTACTGGACCCTCTGGGAGAACGGTAATTTGTTACTGAAGAGGAAACCCAGTATAAAGAACAAATAAATAAAATAAATAAATTCACCCTCCAATCCGAAACCACCTTTGGGATCTGAAAGTTTGGGGCGGTCTCGGAGATGGTTTTTAAAAACGACAGTGTTAAAACCTGCAAACATGTGAGTGTGTTACACCCACATATTCCTGGTCCTCTTCAGATTGGTCAGTTATTATTAAGTTTGATTGACAGTTCGGAAAGGTCCATTGCTACAAAGGGTAGTTAATTGTTATTGTTTACCTAATAAATCTTCACTGTTATTATTATATGATTATTATCATTAATTATTATTATATTTATTATTAGTTTTATTTTTTAATGCAATGGATAAAAATTTGAATAAATAAATAAGTAAATTCTATGACCTATGTCTGTTTGACATAATGCAAAAATCATAATTTCAATGTCATATTCTTTTTTAAATAATCGTGAATGATCATATTTTCATTGTTATGTAATTAATACCATATTACCAGTGTGATAGCATTAATGTCATATGGTATACCATGCTATATGTTTACTGCTATCCATGATTCGAGTGGTGTTGAATAGTAAAGCTGCTTGCCTTCTAATCCAAGGGTCCTGGGTTCAACTCCTGGGACAGCAGGACTTTTTCTCATGACTGAAAACAACTCCACTCCCTAAGCCTCATAAAGGGACTTCACTGATAAAAGCCTCACACTATTTCATTTATTTGTTGAAGAGGCCCATGAATATCAGCTGACTTTCTAAGATACACTTGAAGAATCACCCTCTATGTATGATTAAAAAAAATGATCTAATTAAGAGTTTATACAATGTGTATAAATATTTGTTTTTTCAATGCTATACTATCTGCACAATTTTATGATCATTACCGGTCAATGTCATATTGATTAGATTCATCATGTTTATTATAACATGCTATGCAATGATCTAAAAGTTTATAGATTCTTTTGCATAAATATATATTTTTTTCAATGCCATATGATCATTACAATTTTATGACCACTACCAGTCAATGTCATATTGATTAGATTCGTCAGGTTTATTATAGCATGCTGATGATCTAAAAGTTTATAGATTGTACATAAATATTTTTTCCAATGCCATAAGATCATCACAATTTTATAATCAATACTAGGGCCAATGTCATTTTGATTAACTGTGCTATATGCAATATGATGTATGGTTTATATTTTTTATGAATTTTGCACAATGATGGCTCCAGGACCTGCCCGATGGTGGTGCTAAAGGCCCCGACAGGGGTGGGGCTAGTGGAGCGAACTGAGTCTCACTTGGTGGAGGTCAAGGGGGTTCGGCCCCCCTCCCCCTGGAAGCCACGGATATTTTTGACGAATTATGGCGAATTTTTATTACTTTTTTGATAAGCAAAATATTTTGAATAAAGTAAGAAACAAGATGTATGCAATGAAACCATCCAATTTATTTTCAAATCCTCATTCTTGAAAGTGAAATTCTACATTTTGGAAATTTTGCATGAAATTTGTTGTCAAGGTTGAGGTTGCTTCCCCTATCAGATGTATTCCAAGCATCATGAAGTTATCCAAATGAGCATTGGTCATAAAAGAACGCAAGTTATTTTTAATCAGTGTCATTGAACTATTAAAGTTGTTATTATTATTAATATTATTCGGGCGCAGTGAGTGCCCAGCCTAATACAACACAAAAAATACAATTTTTTTTTCTAATGTAAGTAGGACATATATTTTATGTATGCAGACAGAAAATATTGATAGTTCATTTATGAGATAATTATTTTCACTAACTTTGATATTTTTCCAGCAAAAGTAGTCAATATAATGATTATTTCCTCCTGTACTTTTCTGCATGCAACAGTTGAACATGTTATTATATTTGCTTCAGTACGTGTCACTTATTTTCTTTACATTTCACTAACAAGGATAAGTTGGAACTAAATGGCTCTTTCAAGTGGCAAGGGAGGCCGTTAACATGATGCAGTTCAACTTGTTTAAAAGTACTAAAAATCACATGGATTAAATATGAACAGAATAATAAATTATATAATATTTTTTAAGATATCTGTTCCCGAATTTAATTTTGTTCCCAAATTTAATTTTGGATGCTTTCAGATATATTATAAGAATTTCATCATTGTTGCAGTTCAACTTGTTAGTAAAAGCACTAAAAATCACATGGATTAGGCGACTTAAAAAATATGAGCAGAATAATAAATTATATAATATTTTTTAAGATATCTGTTCCCGAATTTATTTTTGGATGCTTTCAGATATATTATAAGAATTTCATTATTGATAAATTAAACAAAGCTTTTGCAAAGATGTCATTAAAGCATGGAAAAAATTTACTATATTTGTTACAAAAAACAAAGAATGTTTATTTAGATTCAGATGGTAAAACAAACAGATTAAAATGTATGATAAATGAATAAAATGGTAATAAAAAAAATAAAAAAAAAGAAGCAGATGAAAATCGATGATGAGTGTAATTTTTGCAAGAAGTGGTTTAACAATGGAATTAAGCACATTAATGACATAGGATTCAAAACTAAAAGTATTCAACAAGAACAAAAAGGTTGTAAAAAAGTTTTTAACACTTTATTTATTCCACTATTGTATACTTCAAATGTATTTAAAAATCACAATCACAAGAGTTCAGTCGTACAAGATATGTGAATATAATTGGAAAATCAACCCAAGAAATCAAGCTCTGTTGGTTTCAATTAAAAATTTTAAACAGAATTCTATGTACTGTACTCTCTTGGTTAATTCTCTAGTATGTTTTGTAAGAAACTGCGATATCATTAAGATCTACTGGAACAGCTTTTCAAAGTAAATTTAGTGTTAAGAAAAGAACTAGTCTTTTTGAAAACTGTGAACAGAGAGATTAAATATTTTCAATAAAATTATAATGATTTTAAAATTATTCGTGTCTGTAAATGAAGATTCAAAAATTGTATGCATGCCTTCAAAAATGCATTAATTGATATGAAACATTTTTATTTTTACCAAATTCAAAAATATGTTTGATACCAACTGTTAATCAAAATGAATTTAAAGTAAGCGCTCATCTAGAAGAAAAATGACTTTTACAATGAAATAAATTACAGGTATGTTTGAACTGTTCCATTGTAACGCTGTTATTTTTGGGAGGTTGTTTGGCTCGGAAGGGAGTCAGGCTGCACCTTAGGTGCAAAATGGCACTTTCGTGGTTGGATGGCTTCTTGTAAGTGACAGTGATATGGTATTTAATTTAATTTGCATTCTGTTGACTTGTATACTTATTTTTATTTGTGGATGAATAAAGAAATACACAAAAAAATTTCGGTAAACATTTTCATTTGCATAATATTTTGTAGACAGTAACTAATACACAAAATTGAGTTTTCCATTAAGCCCCGCTAAGATGTTGCTTCTGTAGGACTACAGTCAAGCCTGTAGGCAAGATTTTCACAAAACGGCAAATTGAGTCCACATCCAACTCTGCCCCACCATGGTCGAAAGGGGATCTGATTTTTCACAAAACGGCAAATTGAGTCCACATTCAACTCTGCCCCACCATGGTCGGGTTAAATTTTAAAGATACAGCACTTCAGATGTCCAGAAATGGCAATAAAAATGACAAATTTCAATGATATTTGGAGTTGATTTCAAAAAGTTTCATGCAAATGGTACTGTTTGTAATTATTTAAAAGGGCATTTCTGGAAAAGGGGGTTCTTTTTGAACCTTCTAAACCCCCTCCCTGGCTACAGGCTTGACAGTGTATGTGTGTGTAGGACTCTGTGTGTGTTTGTGAGACTATGTATTTGTAGGAGAAGTGTGCATTGGTGCTTCTGTCCTATTTGGTCAGTTGTTAAGTTTGATTGACAATCCAGAAAGGTCCATACACATTCGCTTTATGTTTGCAGAGAGCAGCTACCTCGGTCGGCTAAACTGCTGGTAGCCACATTGCATGCGCTGAACCGTGGAGATCTCTTGGTCCCCTTCAATTCCTATCACTGCTCTCCTTGTATTTTAGCTGGAGGACTGCAATACAATTAGTTACGATAATGCACCGCCTTTCAGATGAGACCAATTCCGTGAGCATTATGACCTGTGTGTACGTTAAAGAACACTGGACTCTTCAGAAAAGAGTAGGTACTGCCCAATTCACCACCATAAGGACCCCACTGTAAATAAGTCTTCGGACTTAATGGGTTATCCATTGTGTGATTCATTCCACAGATACTTTGTATATATACTGCTATATCAGCAGTTGCTGAAAGCTATATCACATTTTTATTAAGACTACGAATATCTAGCAATTTTGTAGAAAGTTGGAATCCAATTCGGTTTTGTGTAAACGAATAAACGTTTTCTCCAATTTCATTTAATAATGAAGAAACAGATAAATTTCTTGAACTGAAATCCTTGATAATTGAACCAAAAGGACATAAGTTGAAAACACCACTAACACTATTAAATATAATTTATTACAATCAATAAATGAGAGTTATTAATAAGTTCTCTGAAGAGTAAATTTCATGGTTTGTTTGTGCAAAAATATTTGCAGAAGGTCTTTAACGATCTCGAGAAATATAAACATATTTTTATGTGTTTTATGTTTGAGTTGTGGATCAATATTCGTCTTCGATGTTAGGTTTGCTGGTTATGAAATTAGTAGTTAGATTGGTTTGAGTAGATGTGGACTTCTTTACTGATACGATTATCGATAAGCTGCGTTACGTAGAGCCACTTGTCATGGCGTCTACATATACTTTGAGGATTTTTCATTATTTTGTACTTTTGGTAAGTTTTTTTTCTATTTTTTAATATTAAGAATTCTCATTTTTATATACAGAGAAAGGATGAAGAGCTGTTTTTACACAAGCTTAGTGTATTATTTAATTTTGTTGGTCTAAAAAGTGCTGTTAACTTCATCATTGGCTTGATTATTATTGATAAATCTCAAGTAACATTCTCAAGTATAATATATCATATTCATTTTTAATGAAAATTCATTTTTCTATCTTTTTATGAAAGAATAAAAAAGTAGTGTTAAAAGATATAAAATTCCCCTATTTTCTCGGAAAATTGTGCCCAGAATAGGGGTGCCTCAAAGTAGAGTTCTACTGTATTACATTGGTTGTATATTTTAATTCTTGGACGACATTTCTATGATAACTGGAGGTCTTAAGTCGTGGGAAGCTATGGCAAAAAATGTTGGGTCCTAATGAGTAAAAGGTTGCCGACCGTAGACTTAAAACAACAGAAATTGCAATAACCTAGTAGCTTATTAATGATAATGTATATATAGAATTACGTAACACTGAATTTTACTAAATGCGTCTTTGCTATTTGTGCTTTACTTTGGACCAAGTTTCTTGAAGGTCCAAGAATGCAAATTGGCGTAAGTGAAAATATTGAGCAAAAACATGGAACAGAAGGGAAAAAAGAAGTAAAATATCAGAAAATATCAACAATGGCTTACTTGAGTCTCAGAAAATCTTTCGTCAGTTCTCCTGGGGATAAAAGCCAAGCATAAAATGGTTACCTGCTACCACAGTAGCAGGAAAAGCCAATATAACAATAATGTTTGATAATAAACATAAAAACACGTTTTTTTTTTGTTTTTTTTTTTTTATTTTTTAGATTGTATTTACAGTCGATTGTGCCTCAACCACAGAAACAGCAAGAAATTCAACAGGTAATAATTCCACTTTGCAAATAATTATGATGATTTTAAATTACTATTAATTTGAAAAACATAAGAGTACATAATTTTTTTAAAGCATTGTAGTTTAATTAATTTTTATTCCAATCCAGTGCATTCTCTAAAATAATTATTTTAATTAGTAAAGGTAAGCGGTGGCATATTTAGACTACCATTTATTTTATTTATAGTAATTTTTAATACTTTTTCTAAAAATAAAATTAGATAATTATAGAAATAATGATGTATATTTTGTATGCAGGGGTCCTAAGTTGAAAGCCACTTCTGGGACCCCCCCCCCCCGGTGAATATTTTTTCTAGGAATTGTTATGCTCTATCCAGATTCGAAAGTTTTCTTTGATAACAAAAATTGTATGCCCATATAAAGTCATAATGTGCCTAGCAACAAATGTTACTTATTGTAGTTGTATGAAAATAAGAGGTCTCGAACATGCAATCACTCGCTCTTCTTGTGATATACCGTTTAAATAAGATCACTCGCTATTCTTGTGATATACCGTTTAAATAAGATATGTTTGTGATCCTATATATTTTCATTATCACTTAGACTTATTTTTATGAGGATGATTATGATGACGATGCTCATTTGTGATTATTATTTCATTATTACTTTTTATATCAGATTTTTTTATATCAGATTTTTATTATTTCCATTATACACCAATTTTATATAGACCCTTTGTCTCATTTTAATTACTGTTCTCTCAGATTCTCAGTATTACAGTTGACGTCC